CTATTTCCTGTTGTCAGAAAATGAGAGGTCTGCTCTGTAAAGTTATTACATCTGTAATGTATACCAAACTACAAAATACACATAGAAGAGACATATGTTAAAAGATTAGCACAGTACATAGAAACCTCTTGTATGTACTGTGTATTGTCATGGGCATAGCATAATTTTGTGAATACGCTCAGTATAGGATATGTGCTCCATCCTACCGGTAAGAGGGTGGATGGTGTTCATCATATTGTTGTATACAGGAAAAGCATGCCAAGAAGATCATTTGCAGGTCACATGATTTTTATTATATCTTTTGAACAACCCTTTTGGCCACACTTTAAAAAATACAATTCCCACAAGAATGACAATTATTATTATTATACAGGATTTATGTACAGTTTGTGCAGCGCTTTACAATATAATTGACTTAAAATGTAATTTATTTGGTACCATGGCATCTGGCACACTTGCCAAAGGATTTGTAATTCTCTGCAGCCAGACTTGCTCTTATCACATCATAGTTGGGCCATAGTGATATTTTAAGATAACTGTTTTCTCTAATTAGTGTCACACATGTCTTCAATCTTGTAATCAGTCAGCTATTTTATTTAGATGGGGAAATGTAGTCACTCTGCTGTTTGGTATCAATGTGTGCACCACACTGAACATGGATCGGAGAAAGGAGAGTAGTCTGAGGAGATCAGAAAAAAATGATAGGCTAGCATGTTAAAGGTAAAGGCTATAGGGTCATCTTGATGCAGCTTGATGTTCCTGTGACTACAGTTGCAATTTTTTAAAGAATTTTAAAGGTCCATGGGAGTGTAGCCAACCTCTCTGGAAGTAGTCGCAAAAGGAAAATGGACCCCAGAAAGAACATAAGGATAGTGCTAATGGTAAACTTTCAAAGAGATACATGACTGACTGCAAGGCCAAGTAACCCTCACCTCCCACCAAAACACACACTGAACACAGTAATTTCAAAAAACGTAATGTAATAACATTTATTGGAAGGTTGAATGGCCACAGCGATGTAAACATTTAAAATAATCACAGAACATATTATGTATCAAGAACAAAATACTTCGGTCCCTGACAAGTGCCAAAAAACACCACTCACCGCTGACAGGGGGTGTACCATGACCCATTGTTTTACTGTACCAGCCACCGGCCGCCCATATTCTGGCCCGAGTGGGTACGCCCAAGTTCTTACTGGCTACCAAGCTATAAAGCCCAGTAGCCCCACCATTGGCACTTCCCTACTAGTCCGCCCCTTTTCACTTTGCAAAGAGCTCAAAACACGAATTCCACCTTAAACGCAGAAAAGGAATACCCATAACCCTAACTAGAAAAATTTTAACCCTCCTCCCCAAATTCCACACTTGCGGAAACTAACCCTTAGTAAACATAAAAAACAACAAGCTGAAATACTATCGGGGAGGGTGGGTGGGACTGATTCCTTTTCTCTCCCACCTAAAATGGTTCCCTACCTCACACTGTACAGTAAGATGGCCCCCTAACTCCACCCCCCCAAGCTAAACCCACCTATCACTATGCTAGCTGGCCCCTCCCTCCCCCCTTTTCAAACCCAACAGAAAAAACACCCTTTCATCCAATACTCACCTAACTCCTTCTTGTTCAGGTCTGACCTGCATCAGTCATGTCCCTTCCTCCGCCTATTGCTCCGCAGGGAACTAGCTGAGATCCATGGTACATCTGTGTGTGATCGCACCATCTGTCGCTTTTTGAGTGACAGTGGGCTCAAAGGAGGAGCCCAAAGTTAAAAGAAAAACATAAAAAAATCCAGTCTGGAATTTATTAAAATGCGTATTGCCAGGCACAATGATTCTGAGAGAATATCTTTTGGACAGATGACACAAAACTGGAGCTTTTTGGCAAGGCACATCAGCTCCATGTTCACAGATGAAAAAAAGATAAGAACACAGTGTCTACTGTGAAACATGCAGGAGGCTTGGTAATGTTGTGGGGCTGTTCTGCTACGTTTGGCACCTGATGCCTAAATCTGTGCACAACACAATGAAATCTCAAGACTATCAAGGAATTCTGGAGGGAAACGTTCTGCCCAATGTCAGAAAGCTCTGTTCTCAGTTGCAGGCCACGGGTCCTCCAAAAGTACACTGACCCAAAATACTTAGCTAAAAGCACCCAAGAACAACTAAGAACAAAAGATTGGGCTATTCTAAAGTGGTCTTAGTAAAGCCCTGATCTGAATTTCCCAGCAGAGTTAGATTTCTCATGAACAAGCAGAATTTGGCTTCATGGGTGGCAGAAAAGGTAAGTATTTGAGTCTTCTTTTACTGGTATAGCTTTGCTTGGGATCTTTAGAATAGAGACAAGATCACTTTAAAATCTCTGCAGCTTTTGATTTATTATGACCAAACCTTCCTTTTTCTTATGCTTTTTATTACTGATTTCCATAAAATTGTCCTTTATTTTTTGACCCAAAATATTCTGCAATCATTATTAATGAGTACATCAAACAGAACATTCAGAGGACACTGAAGTCTCAGTACAGGGACTGGGGTGTCCTATCTATTTATGGGGGTGCAAGAGCTGTGGTTGATGTCTAACCACATGTTTGCACCTGGAAAAACCTCAGACCAAATATATGAATAGACTGGGGTAGGTTTGTATATTTTCTAATGCCAGGCAGGAAGTATAACTCGCGCAGCTGTCAGTCCTGCTCTTACAAGCAAGTGTCTATTGAGAACTCAAATCCTTTCAGTAGGACATGTTTTGTAAAGCCTCATTGCAGATCACTAACTGGTTGGGAATGTTAAACAAATATAACTTAGAGTAAAACTGGACTTTGCCCATGCTAGGCAAAGTAACAGGAGGAATGATAATCGGTCAAAACTTACCTCTCTTTGCCCGCCTCCACCTCCCCAGTCCAAAGCCAGGGCACCCAAGATTCCTGCTGAAACTTATACGAAGCAGTATATATTCCCTCCATGACAGCACTTAAAGTGACATAAAAACCCTCAGATTTTTAACTTTAACTTTTAAATCAAGGAAGAGAAGAGCAGCAAAGAGAAGGGAAACAACCATGGATTACAGTAAGGCACACATTACAGTATTGGTTTATGTTAAAAAAATCTGAGGGTTTAATGTCACTTTAAGCCTGTTGTGAAATGTGGTACCACATTGGTTTTGGTGGTGCATAAATATAACTGTGACAGGACCCATCAGGTTATAGGCTCATAACCTCTGTCCGCCTTTAACAATAAAAAGTAGGCTTTGCATTTAAAAAATGGGTGAAAAAGGGTAAGAGCTGCTGTCATTTTTTGTATTGCTGTCAGGACAAGAAGTAGTGGGAAATCTCTTCAATGGAGAAACCGATTGAAGAGGGGTTAGAAATTCTTACAATGTTTGTCCTGTTGTCACAGAAACCTACCAACTTTTTTTAGATACTTAGATTTTTTTGGTTACTTTTTGGTTTAATCTGCAGCATGTTTGCTTTTTTTTCTTAAAAAAACAAAAGCTAAAGAGTTTAATTAGAAATTAAGCAAGGCAGTGACTCAACTACATATATAATACATGGGTGGTCCCTCTTTAATTTGTGTGCATGGGTCCTGTGACTTTTTGTTAACCTCTACTGTGTAGTGTGTACTAACAACAATGGAGGATTGGCCAACATTCTCTAATATAGGCAATAAAACTAAATTCCTACAGTGGTTCATGATTTGAATGGCTATGGATTGTTTCCCAAAATCTCTGGTGACAACAAGGAGACTTATGGGGGGAAGGGGGGGATGCAAAGACATGCATATTTCTTGCCAAGAATCCCAGGTTCAGCTAAAAGCCACCCCAATCATCTTTCTGACTCTAATTAAAATATCTATTTCATTTTAGAACACGTGCATAGCTAAAGCCTTCATTTTGAATAGAGTAGGGAAGGGCTAGAACCCCTGCTGGTTTATTTTTTGCCATCTATGTCCTTTTGGTAAGATTTCCCTTTACTTCCTGTCCCAGAAATGAAACCGGAAGTGAGAGGAAATCTACCGAAGTGAGGTGAATTCTTCTCTTGGACAACTGCCCACAGAAAAAGTGTCCCTATTGGAAGATTTTCCCTCACCTTCCCTTCTGATGACAACTGTATAATTTTCCATTTCCCATCACGGCCACCAAATTGCAATAAGCAATGGTCAGACAAACAGAAAGGGTGAACTACACACAGCAATAAAGCCTACATGCAGAAAAAAGCCAGCATGCCAACTTGACATCCGGAATGACTAGTTTTATATCAGTACAAAAACACCTAGTCGGTGTCTTTGTACTGATAATGGACTTTAGTAAGCAGTCGATCTGGATGTCAAGTTGGCGTGCTGGCTTTTTTTCTGCATTTGAAATTATATGGCGTCACCACGTACACCAAGCCCAACAGACCGGTTAACAAGGGGTCTGTGCGGTGGTGGTCTGATGTACTGCAAGCAATAAAACCTGACAGAGGTTCCAAATTTTTCCCACTCCATCCAAATCTCAGAAAAAGAATTTGGCTATAATTGCTGTATACTTTAACTGAACAGTCCAATCCCTTTTCTCTATAGAAAGAGGAATGGTTGCTACCAGCATGTGAGATGATCCTGGCATTAAAATACCCCCCAAATGTCAGTAGAGCTCACAATCACTCTGCCATTTCACCCCTTCACGCATTGCTTGACATTATTACGCTATATATCACCACTTCTATTAAATAGGCTCTTCTACAAAAAAATTCAAATACTTTCCCTGTTGCTATTTATTGTCTTTGCTTCTTACAAACTTTGCAGCAAACACTATTAAAGCAACATTGTTTAACCAGCAGACCAGGCAGCTTCTATGTATATCATCCATTTCCTCTCCTAAGTTTAGGAGTCTCTATGTTCTGGTCTGAAAACTTTGAGTATTTTTTTAATGTACTTTTGGCTGCATCCTTAGAATAGGCTTGTCAGGGGGCTGGATGAGTTAGCACAGCCTCCCCAGAAAAAGAAAAAAACAGGGAATGAGAAAGACAGACAGCTCAGTCCCACCCATCCTGCCTCTGCTCTGTGCTAAGTTATTGTGCACCCTTCAGATTTCTTCAGACCATCCCTGAGGCTGAAGCTCTCTCCTCTCTTGTCGCAAGGTATGGACTATCTCCTGAACAGACTTTATATACCTGTCTCCCCAGATAATGCAATTCCAATTAGAACTGCACCTTTTCACTCTGGAGACAAAGTATAAAAATGTTTCTCTGTAGGGCATAGATACATCTTTGGAAGCTTAACTATTACCAACCTGACAATAGTAGGTGTGGTGCCATAATTACTATAACTCTAGCCTATATATAGCATTGTTATTCTAGATTAATACATTGTTGTATCTATGCCTGTATTATTTTGATCCATTGCATTGTCTGCTATTGGCAGGCATAGTTTTACTATTGAGTGAAGGGACATTGGGCATTGAAAGGGGTTTCTTTTTTTTCACACTTTTAAAAATTCTAGACAAAAGGAATTATATTGCCTGCAACACTGGAGAGATGAAAAGAATGTGAAAAATCCACTTGAGAGAATATAAAAAAAGTGTGATACCGCCAGTAAGGGAAAAAGAGTGTACGTTTAGAATATCTATCTATCTATCTATCTATCTATCTATCTATCTATCTATCTATCTATCTATCTATCTATGGATAGATAGATATATCTATATCTATAGATATATATATGTACCAGCCAATAATCTTCAATATGCTTCAAAGCAAGTCAACTTGCCAACTGGGTTAGGTTACTAATTATTACTAATACTAATAACTATTATTAGTATATTATGATGATCATTATTGTTACCTATTTATTTATTTATTTACATTTGTATGTATTTATTGTTATTATCCCCTTTAGCCAGTAAGTGTAGTTCAATGTAATACTTTATTCCCTAAAGCTTCCAATATGTGCTATAACAACCTAACTCTAATAACACAACACCGATGATCATTTTCATTAGCACTATTTCAACTATTTTATTTCATTGTAAAGTTGCAACATTGTTTTGGAATTTGAAACATGTTTTGAAAAATACATGTTTAGAATTACTGGGAGTGTTACGAGTTAGTAAATATGGACAAAATAAGCCTCCCCGTGATTTTATTTTAAGTCTGTTATTCATTAACTGAAACTTTGGATCTCCCTGAGAAATCAAAGTGCCATAGGATGTTTTAGTTGATGTAAGCAATATAGAGAGGTCTGTTGTGGTATAACATAAGTGGGTGACATTATAGATGTTACAGTGGGATGAGGGCAGGCAGGAGTGCATTCTGTCACTGGAATGTTATTCAAGTATTTAAAGCATGTCCTTGGGGAGCAGGGACTGGAATATAGTCCAGTGATAACTAAGCAATTGAGTATAACAAAATTGCGTGGGGTGGTGTAGAAAAAGAGAGCAATGTGATAAGAGAGATGTTTATGTTATTTTAAAAACATAATGTCAAATATGATAAATGATAACATTTGAAATGTGTGTTAATGTTTTTTACTTAATTTAATTGGTGCAGTAGCTGCTAGCAGAAATTGCCAATAGTGCTCTAAGGGTACCAGAAGATGTCTACTGGAGATAGTAGAAGACTGCTGATGATGGACAGCAAGAGTAGCCATAAACCCTGCCTGTCACTGCGTGGCAGGTCACTATATAGAGATATAAAAAAGGGTTAACACAGCCATTGTTTGCTACATAGGCAGAAAAAGGGGGATGGGTGGGCTGAGAGAAAAGAAAGGAGGGGGGGGGGGGGGGAGGTTGGGGGGCACAGTGGGGTACGGGAAATATTGGGGGACAGATGTTGTGTGGGAGAGAATCAACTTTTCAAACTTGCTCTTAGTTAAGCTCCACCCTGCCTGGCTCCCCTCTCACATTACTCAGGCCCAGAGGAATGCTTGTTGCTTTGGTAACATAGTCAGGTCCTAAATGGTGTGACGGAGCACACTTATGTCAAATCTTTATTTTCTCCGCTGTCCACCTTCATCACACGTCACAAAGTTGTACAGCATGCAATCTTTGATGGCTACAGTCACCTAGACTAATAATGAACAATGTGCATCTAGTTCATCCTCTCGCTAAGTCCAGTGGTTTTGGTCTATAAAAAGAGTTGGACCAATTTAATTGCTTAAAATATTCCCATAAAATCCTTTCATAACAGTCAGTGCTTGAAATATCATTCAGTTATTGTGTAGATTTCACAATTATTACCCCTTCCACACTTAACCGCTTTCACCTTTTGTCTTTGCTGTCTATGCTCAGTCCAAACTGATGTCACTTTGCTCTGTTTACAGTTCATGGGATACAAAAGTTTTTTTGTCAAATCTATTTTAACTTAAAGTAACTCTGAACTTAAAAATACATTCAAGTAACTTTACTATTAACATAACTGTCCCTTATTTGTGCATCACTCAGCTGTAGATCCTCAAATCATCTCTGAATTGGTGCTGACACTGTCCTTCCTTCTGGAGGGTGGCTACTTTTGTTCTTCATGGTCCCTGTGTGTGTTGTAAAGTAGTCACTGCTCCAAGCTCGCTCACATTGTAGTCCATCACTGGAACGAGCTTGGGGCTGTGGCTACTTTACAACACACACAGGGACCATGAAGAACAAAAGTAGCCACCCTCCAGAAGGAAGAACAGTGTCAGCATGAATTCAGAGATGATTTGAGGATCTACAGCTGAGTGATGCACAAATAATGGACAGTAATATTACTAATTAAGGCACTTGATTGCATTTTTAAGATTTAACTCCTGAGCTTAGTGTCACTTTAATGTATAATTAGTCATATAAAATAAAATGTATTAAACACTGAAGACATTGTCTAATCTTTTACTATGACATGCCCTATTCCTTTTATTGAGTTGCCCACCTTTGACCCCTTTCCAAATGCCCTGAGTACAGTGTAATAAATATATAATATGTGCCCTTGCAAATAATTTATAAATCAGCAATACTACATGTTTTTATCATTCTCTGTATACATTTAAGTTGCTTTTGCAGCTGTTTCCTTGCATGTAGTGCCACTAAAATTTCATTTCAACTGTTCATCTTGTTTTTGCATGCAGTTCACTGTTTGCCTTACATTCCTCACATTTAAAACAAGCTTTAAAGCCCAATTGAACCCTCAGTTTAAATTGGCTTGATATATTTTAGGTGCATCAAAACAAAAAGACCTCAGTGTCTCACAGTTTGATTCTTCATAAAACAGCCACAGCCTGAGTAGAAATGCCCGTCCCCTTCCACCATGTATGGGGAAAGGAGTAGAACCCTTGCTCTCTGTGGGGAAGCAGTGATCCCTTTGCAGCTGTCGGAGACACCCTCTACTGAGTTGGTTCCAGAGCTCTCTAATCAGCAGAGAGCATGAGCTTTGCTGATTGCAGAACTATAGAAATGATTCAGCGGGGGACATGTCTGACCTCTACAGAGAGATTACTGCTTCCACACAGAGAGCACGGGTCCCACTATGCAGCATGCTGGCAGGACACAGACTTTTCTACTCTGGATGTGGCTGCTTTACAAAGAAAATGAACTACAAGACATTAAACACCTTTTGAATTGATGCACCCAGTATGCATTTAGCTAATTCAAACTGAGGGTTCAATTGTGCTTCAAGGCAGAGTTGTCAAACTATTTTGGGCCACAGGCTTGGTCAGTTTAAAAATATAACCAAAATGTGTTCTGAGCCTGTTCTACAGTACAGCTCATCATGTTTGGCCTGTGTTAGACACTTCAGCTTGTGTTAAGTATCCGGATGAAAATTTTGTGGCCTTTCAAACAGAATTAGTTGACTCAATCTTCGCAAGATCGAATGCTCTGATGAGTGATTTTTCAGAATATTGTATGAGTGTTTGAAATTCTGACCACGTGTTAAGCTTCCATCGCAGGAGCCACGTCAGGTGGGCGGAGCTGGGAATTCAGTTGCATGGATTTTGCAGATGTAGGTGGATGATGAAACATTGAGAGAAGCTTCAGCGGCGAGAGTAAATCTGTCACTCTTAAAGCAAGATAACAGTTTAACACAATAGGCTGAACAGTTACAAAACTTACTTTTTAACAACATTGCCATACAATATGAGTGGATTGATGCCACTTATTTTAATATCTGTCTATGTAGTGGAAAGCTGCTTATAATTGGGAGCTGTTGACTCCATTATACCTGAGTGCCACTGACAGTTATTAAAAATGGCTGCACCCAGAGTGAATTCTGTACTACTTGAAGCAATAAAGCTGGCTACAGTCTGATTAAAACTCTCCTTTAGATTTATATCTATTACACACTGGGGGGCTGCCTGATTGGATACAAATAAAATGGATTGTTAGATAGGCCCTGGCATTTCATAGTAAATCTACAGGAGGCTGTATGAAGATTGTACAATCAGACTGCAACGTGTGTGGCCAGTTTAATACAGCGTATGCTATGGCACACACTGGATGATTAGCTGTGGCCAGTTTGTATGCAGCCAGAACGGCTGGCCCTGGACCCAAACATTCTGTGTCCAGGGCTGGTTAGAGGACCTAATCGCATGTAAGCTCTGGTATGACTGGTTACGTGCAAACTGCGGTGGGGCCAGCCATTGATTTGTACAGGGTACAAATCTGGAAGCAGCTGTTCACACACAGAGAAGCTAATCGCCAATTTGAATGAGCCCTACTCCCATGGATAATACAGTAGGTGCAGGAGACAGAAGGTCAAAGTGCCAACTTCCTAGCTCCTATTTGCATAAGAGAGCAGCCCAGACCACGGTAGACAAAAAATAAAGTTATATATAGCCACCTAAAATGCAAACTATTGTGTCCAACTGGGAATTTATATTGGCTATTAGGATAGCTCATGGATCACTGCAATTTAAAATATCCCGAAGCTCTAAAATGATTTATCTACAGCGTCTTATCATCTACAGTCTTGCCCCTACTGATCCATAAAAACTGGATGAAGATGAAGATTCTGCCTTCATTTTGTAACCTGCATCAGAAAAATGTCATCTGGGATATGAAATGTTCCTGCAGACAATCCTCCAATCACTCTAAATCATATTTTATACCCCCCGACCCCCCGTGACATAATCCTAGCATAACACACTTCTGGATGGTTTTATAATCTAACTTTATATT